AATTTCATTCTTACATTATTTCATTCTTTTATAATTCTACTATTGTTCTTTAGACTACTACTGGTCTAAAGTAAATTGGAACACCACTATCACAAATTATCCAAGCCACACCAAAGTCGTTACCTTAAGTTATTTTTCAATTAGACCAAACTTTCAAATACATTTTGCTCTTTATCGTTACTAGGAGTTTGAAGCATAAAAGTTTATTACTATCTCTGTAATGTTACGTAGTGCCTCTCGTTTCGCTACTGTAATCTCTTAATCGTGCTGCTTACACAAACTGCTATTCCAAGTATGCTGTATTTCCTCTAATACTATTACTTTTACACTAACGACACTAAATTATAAACAATGTTACGTTCAATGATTTTCATAGAAGGAAATATAAAACGTATTCTTCGGATATTGGAACATTCTTATTACAGAGTATTCAGATCATAAAACTTTCGAATAATAAATGTTTCAATAATCGAGATTCTATTGTATTTGTTAGTTAAAAATTTATTATCAGCAACTTTAGGTTGTCAAACTTTACAGAGTGAAATACCATATTAGAATATTGTAATTTATAGAGTAAAACAGTATTAGTAGTCATTGTTCCAATATTTTATATATTATGTCCATATATATTTCCTCTAACACTATTACTTTTACACTAACGACACTAAATTAATAAACAATGTTACAGAGTATTCAGATGATAGATCGTTCGAATAATAAATGTTTCAATAATCGAGATTCTATTGTATTTGTTAGTTAAAAATTTATCATCAGCAACTTTAGGTTGTCAAACTTTACAGAGTGAAATACCACATTAGAATATTGTAATTTATAGAGGAAAACAGTATTAGTAGTCATCGTTCCAATATTTTATATATCATGTCCATAGTTCTTTAAGATCTGATTTATTAACGTTAAAACAGCGTTTGATCAAGACTCAATCCCTGGGACTGATTTATTATCTTCACTATCGAAATGTTAGAATTTCGTTGCACCGAGTTGATAACACTTTCGACTTCTCATGCAGAGCATCGGAGTTATTCGTATATTCTTATTTTATTGTCATGCTGATCTATAAATATTTATAAATAATCTACTTACGTATGTGTACGGATTAATTAACATACGAATGAACAATACTTTAAACTTGAAACGAAAACCAGTTTGTCTCATTCCTTAAAGCGTGAAATCTTTTTCAATTCTTTTCCAGAAATGTTCTTTGCTTCTTGCTGTATGTATTTTTTTCATTATTAATATTATTGTATATATTTTATTATTAATATTATTAAATATTATTATTTTTTATTATTAATATTATTGTATATATTTTTGTTGTCGAAAATTTTCACGACTAGATCATCAATCTTGAAGACTGAAGTTTTTCCTTCACAACTTGCTGCATGATCTTTTCTCGCCATTTTATTGAACTCTGAATGTTAGAGTTAAAGATGAGATGGCAAAAAAAAAAAAAAAGATGGTAGATTTACTCACGAAGAACATTTTTTTAACATTTTCATTTCAGACATTTGAATTTTAATAATTTTCAGGAACAAAAGTATCTT